ATGTTTTCTTTTTAGGGTTTAGCTGGAAATTTTGGTCAGGTGTCATTCTATTGCCTTCAGCTTGGAAAAACCAAACTGAATTTAGCTCTTGTATTTTGGGTTTGCTTTAGCAGGGTGGTCAGAGATAACTGGTTCCAATTTGGGCTCTTGCTTCCCTACCTTGTCTCTCTCTCGCTCGCTCTTTCTTTCCTCCCATCACACACACAGACACACACATATGCATGCGTGAGCACACACACACTACATATACATACATTGTCCCACTAAACAAGACTCTCTCTCAAGATGCTCTGTAAAGCCCTCATAGTGGAATTCTGATTTCATTATGGCCTTCAGCTACTAGAGGAGTACAGGGTCTAAGTGGGCTAATTTTTAATATACCACCCAAAATTTCACAAAGTCAGAACTTCTAATTTGTGAACGTATAAAAGTAAGGGAAATAACTTTGTACCTATTACCTTTTACCTTTAAGGTTTCAAATTTTCAAAGACAACAAAACTGGGGAAGGGTTCCCCCAAGATGCTATCTGTCTTCCATTTGATCTTGATTGATTCATAAGAACAATAGAATGCCTCCGTGTTCCTGGGATCCCATTGGGAGCATATTTCTATTTTTAAGAAACACATGGGAATCTGCTTATAAGTCCCGTAGTTGCCAGTGAATACTGAAGATGCCACTGTTTGAACTCCCCCCACTTTACTTCTTAAAGGTAGAAGCTGGATTATACTCTGATAAAGTTTAAAGGGATATAAAAACACAAACAAATCTCTCCCCTCTGCTACCAAATCCCACCCTGTACCACCAGTACTGAACAGAAATTGGTGCCATTTTATACCATCAAAAGATACCTTAGACTTTAGCTAGAGTCAAGGAGTAGGCATGTTTGAATATGTACATAATAACAAGCATGCAAGAAAAAGTCTTAGATACATAATTAGAATTGTTAAAACTAACTTAAGGAAGGTGAAAACTATTTCTAACAGTTTTTTAAATGAGTCAATGGGTAAGAAAGGATTTAATATTTCAAATTTGGATTTCTATAAATTAAAATAGTTATAATGTCCTATAACATGTACTTAAAAGTGAAATTTGTGATGTTTGGTTACTGGTATGGTTTGGCTCTGTGTTCTCACCCAAATTTCATCTCAAATTGTAATCCCCAATTATGGAGGGAGGTGATTGGATCATGTAGACGGCTTCCCTCATGCTGTTCTCATGATAGTGAATGAGTTCTCATAAGATCTGATTAAGTTAAAACTGTGGCACTTCCCTTTCACTCACTCCTCCTGCCGCCTCGTGAAGAAACTACTTGCTTCTCCTTCACCTTTCTCCATGATTGTAAATTTCCTGAGGCCTCCCAAGCCATGCATAACTGGGAGATCAATTAAACCAGTCTCAGGTAGTATCTTTATAGCAGAGTGATAATAGATTAATACAGAAAATTGGTACAGGCAGAGTGGGGTACTACTATAAAGTTAACCTGAACATATGGAAGTGACTTTGGAACTGAGTAACAGGCAGAGGTTGGAACAGTTTGGAGGGCTCAGAAGAAGACAGGAAGATATGGGAAAGTTTGGAACTTTCTGGAGACTTGTTGAATGACTTGGACCAAAATGCTGATAGTGATATGGACAATGAAGTCAGGCTGAGGTGGTCTCAGATGGAGATGAGAAACTTATTGGGAACTGTAGCAAAGGCCACTCAGGCTATATTTTAGCAAAGAGACTGACAGAATTTTCCCCCTGTCCTAGAGATTTGTGGAACTTTGAACTTGAGAGAGATTATTTAGGGTATCTGATGGAAGAAATTTCTAAGCAGCACAGCATTCAAGAGGTGATCTGGCTAATTCTGAAAGCATTAGTTATATGTGTTCACAAAGAGATGATTTGAAATTGGAAATTATGTTTAAAAAGCAAGCAGAGCATAAGGTTTGGAAAATTTGCAGCCTGACTATATGGTAGAAAAGAAAAATCAATTTTCTGGGGAGGAATTCAAACCTGCTGCAGAAATTTGCGTAAGTAATGAGAAGCTGAATATTATTGGCCAAGACAATGGAGAAAATGTCTCCAGGGCTTGAACAGACCTTCACAAAAGGCCCTCCCATCACAGGCCTGCAGGCCTAGGAGGAAAAAAAATGGCTTCTTGGGCCAGGTCCAGGGCCTCACTGCTCTGTGCAGCTTCAAGATGTGATGCCCTGCATCCCAGCCACTCCAGCTCCAGATGAGGCCTAAAGGGGCAAGGTACAGCTGAGGCTATTGCTTCAGATGGTGCCTCAAACCTTTGGTGGCTTCCAAGTGGTATTGAGCCTGCAGGCATTCAGAAAACTAGAGTTGAACTTTGGGATCTTCCCTCTAGATTTCAGAGGATGTATGGAAATGCCTGGATGTTGGACAGAAGTCTGCTGCAAGGGTGAAGCCTTCATGGAGAAACTGCTAGGGCAGTGCAGAAAAAAAATGTGGGTTTGGAGGCCCCACACAGAGTCCCTACTGGGGCACTGCCTAGTGGAGCTGTGAGAAGAAGGTCCCCAACCTCCAGACCCCAGAAAGGTAGATCCATCAACAGCTTGCACCAAGAGCCTTGAAAACCCTCAGGCACTCAATACCAGCTGGGAGAAGCCACCACAGGGACTGTACCCTGCAGACCCACAGAGGCAGAGCTGCCCAAGGCTCCAGGAGCCCACCTATTACATCAACATGCCCTGGATATGAGACATAAAGTCAAAGGAGATTTTGGAGCATTAAGCGTTAATTACCTCCCATCTAGGATTCATATTTCAGAGGTGTGCCAGGCAGTTAGTAAAACAATTGCTATTTTTCTAGATTTTGTGAAACTTATGGTATTGTTAAGTATTTAAGCCTTGCAACTTGTGATTTCTTTTTCTCATTCTAAATAAATACTCACTTTCTGATCTAATCTTATGTCCTTTTTCTTAAAGAGGGTTGCCCAAATTGTGTAAATTTCAAGTCCCACAAAATCTGGATCCCTGCATAGGAGCTGCTAAATATTTAAAAATAAGATAAAGCTTTTCTTTTTGATTAAGAATTCTTAATAACACAGTCAAACAGAATCATGGTTCACTTTGTCCAGAATCTGACCTCTGTGATAAAATCGGTAGCTCTGGGGTGTCAGAGCTGACAACAGTGAGAGACATGTAGATTCATCACCAATCACCCAGCAGGGAGGAAACCTGGGTGGAATCTGGCACCTACTATGGATTTCTGTTCCAGAAAAGAAATCTTCCACAAAGAAGGTCTATTGAAATGACCTGGTGGAGCTTTTACCTAATTTAAAACAGGAAAGACTGTGAGCCTGTTCAGAGAAGTATGAAACACTGGATGGGGGATATCTAGGTTCAATTCACTTAGGTTTGGTTTTCCCACTCTAAAGGAAAAGTTCAGATAAGTAGGCCCAGTGGAGGATGATGAAGATACTCTCCTGTCTTGCTGTCTCTTCTGGTCCTCTGTCAGTGACTGAGTACTGGGCTGGGTTGATGGGTGTTATGGGAGTTCCCATGGTCTATGGGGCCAGCAACCCCTGACATGATCTTATAACAGTTTCTCTCCCTTACAAGAGCAGATGGGATTCAGATGCTAGGTTCATCATTCTGATGCAAGTTGTCAATGTCATGGACCTTTTCCTGAAGAGAAGAAGTTTCCATGCATATATTACTCCTTAACCCATTTATTTGTAATCCTGCTTGCTTGGTCTTTTTGGTATATATGCCCCCATTAAAAGATTAATTTGTCCTTTTGTATCTCAAATACAGCAAAAGAAAGTTATAATTCTATTTCACTGTGGGCCCACAATTTGGCTTCAAGGACAGTAATTAAAAAATGGTCAAAACACCCACTCTGTTTGCTGGACTGGCTACCTACAGGTCCCCACAGCAAGGGGTCCCAGGTTTCAAGAAAACCCCTTCTGTCTTCTCTGGGAATCTGTAAAATTCACATGATTGAAGACCCCTTCCTTTGAGCTGGAGTCAGGGTGGATAATACCTGGATATTACATAGCATTGCATTTCACAGGGAATAAATGGTGTGTGGACGCCTTCAACTAGTCTCTGATGCTTGATGACCTGGAATTTCTGTTTCAGTGTGATCAAAAGAATCAGAAAACTACAGTCCAGAAAACTACACTGTTCCTAATTTTAGCAGTTCTGACAAAAATGGACCACTGTCTAAATTATCAAGTAATTTTTTTATTTGACTGAGTAGATTTTTTGGGGATTCAGTGATAAAGTCTGTAATACAGGATAACTATGAGACAGAATAACAGGAGAGAATGACAAGAGGATCATAGCTGTAAGGTGAAGCAGGACAATGGCACATTTGACCCCAGCTTTTTTATACAAAGGCATTTCCCAGAGGACATAAAGTATTCCTGGTGCTGTGAATCCTGCGAGATCTCAGCACCAGGACATATGGAGGTGGGTTAACAAAACAAATAGTCACATTCTTCATGCTGGTTTGAGGCTACTCCTGAAAAAAGCTACATTTCAGGGAAAGAAGGACTTCTCTCTCCTAGTTCACCCAAATTCATAATCAAGTCATCAAAAAGAAGCAAAGTCAAGAGTTGGTGACTTTTTTTGATGCCCACCTTCTTCTATATCAACAAAGACCCTAAAGGAACCAGCTGAAATGCTTTTTCTGTGACAAGTTTCTACCTTGGTTCTCCTGCCCTGAGCATTCTCACCCAATCCTCCCTGAATCCAGTGCTCACTCTCTTGCAATGAGACCTGAATTGTTTTTGCTTTGTTTCATCATCAGCATATTTCATGATTTTCTTTCTTACGGCCTCAGACCCTGCTTTTCTCTATGCCTAGTAAAGGTATCTGTCTTTTTATTCTCCCCAGATGCTGTCCCAAAGCTGGCATTCTGTGAGGTTCCACCCATTTGGTTGTGAGAGCTCTCCTGCTTTAGTGATAGCTGGCCCCATGAGACCTGGTGCTTGCTCAGGCCTGTAAATGGACACCCACTACTTCTGCTTTCATCCTACTCCACCTTTTTCCATGTCGGACTTGATCTGCTCCTCCAGATCCTCTGGGGACACAAAGAAGTCCTCTTCTGGCACCGATGACTTGGACCGGCAACGTCCACAGCAGCAGTTGCAGCAGCAGCACAGGCAGCAGCAAAAATAGCAGCCTGTCAAGAGGCCGATGATAACAAACAGGGTCTAAGGAAACAGAGGCAGAACAAAATGAGGATGAGGGGTGATGGGGTGGGGGGAGAACCCCAGAAATCAAGTCTGCACCCAGGTGCCCCCAGAGACCTGAAGACTTCACAGTTCACCCCACAGGCCACTTCTTCACCCTCATCCTTACTCCACATACAAACTATTTCATTTCCTTGGAAACCAATTTCCTGGTAAAGTTTGGCCTATAAATTAGACCCAGAAGAAATGACTTGTAGCTAAAGTAATTAAAGCATGGCATTTCTTTTTTTATTCTTAAGCTATATAGTGATCTTTATTAAGAGCAGAGCAAGGAAGGACAAAAACCAAAAAACCAACCAACAAAACCTCTAGAGCTAGCAAGGGGCGCTGAATCATTCTCACCAGAATGGTAAAGAATGAGTTGTCTGATACCTCCGCCTCCTACACTCACATTCCTGCTGGTCACCAAATCCTGGAGAGGTCTCTCCTCAGGCATCTTGTATCCTCCTTCATGCCTCTATCCTGGCCAGCCAGGCTTCAGAATTGACCTTTACTATGTCTTGTCTGGATACTCCAGCAGCCTCCCAATTGGCCTCCCTGCCTCGCCTCTTGCCTCCCTTAAATCCATGCCGCACATTGCTGATGGAGTGAACTTTCTGAAATACACGTTCTCTTGAACCCATGCTATGGCTTTCCTGCCTCTCAGATATAGCCAAGTTCCTTATGATGGGGATCCGGCTCTGCCAATGCTTCCCTGCACCACCAGCACAGCCCTGTTCTTGCCTTTCCTTCCCTTATAGCTCTGCTCTCCCTATCCAATACAGGCATTCATCTGCCGGGACGTCCAACTCCCAATTCCCCAGTCACATAACAAAACACCCACCTGGTGGGTAAGACTCATCTTAAAGATCCCTTCTATGACATCTTTCCTTATCCTGCCCAAAACAATGACTCCCTCCTTTGTGCTCAGTTGCATTTCATGCAGACTTCTACTTTGCTGCTTTCTTTAAGTGATATTTTTAGAACAATCATCAGTTTGTAGGTCTGTTTCATTGTATTAGACTCTGAGCTTCCTGCAAGCTGGCACTGTCAGCTAGATAGCTAGTCATCTTTCAGTTCCTCCTACTTAAGGATTTAGTACCTGGTATGTGGTAGATGCTTATAAAATACCAGCTGAATTAATGATTGTATGAAGTAATAAATAAACAAATGATTTGCTCTACCTGGTGAACAGCAGCAGGATTTCCCCAAAAACATAAAAGGTTTGCTCGCTAAGTTTCTTATAGCTAAAGATTAAAAGAACTCTTGATTCTCCCAATCTGGTTATAAAAAGTCCATTTTTTGTGAATTGAGAAAAATCAATTTATAATTTTATCAAAAATATGTAAATTGAAATAGAAAAAAGGGTTTATACATCTTTAATTGAAACACAGATTTTTATCTAATTAAGGGAGCCAGAGGGATAAAGAGGACCTGTGTGCCTGTGTACTTCTTCAATAACTTAAGGTAGAAATCTTTGATGCTGACGACCCTCATCTGCCCCACTCCTGCTTCCTAGCCCTGGACTTCGTCTCTGACCCTCGCTCCATGTGTGGGGTGGAGCCTCTGATGGCTCGGAGTAGGGGAGTTTCAGTCACATACTCAAACATATAATCTCTTCTCTATGGAAAATTTACATTTTCATAGTCTTAGGTAAATTGCTCTGAAAACAACTGCAACACCCTCTGTCTCACTGTCTCCATGCCCTCCCACGCGGTGTTCTTGAGCCATTGCCCCAAACTCCTCCCTTCTTTAGCTATTTTTGTCCTTTTTGTTTTTTACTTTGCAATTCCCATATTGTTTCCTTCTCTGAACTTTTTCTTTTCATTCATATACTGTTTTGTTCTTTAATTATTCTAACCTGATTGTTTGCCTTCTGTGAAAATAACCTTGCTTTGGCTGGTGCAGAGGCTCATTCCTATAATCCCAACACTTTGGGAGACTGAAGTGGGTGGATCACCTGAGGTCAGGAGTTTGAGACCAGCCTGGCCAACATGGAGAAACTCCATCTTTAGTAAAAATACAAAATTAGCCGGTTATGGTGGTACATGCCTGTAATCCCAGCTACTCGGGAGGCTGAGGCAGGAGAATCGCTTGAACCCGGGAGGTAGAGATTGTGGTGAGCCGAGATTGTGCCATTGCACTCCAGCTTGGGCAACAAAAGTGAAACTCCATCTCAAAAAAAAAAGAAAGAAAGAAAGAAAGAAAACCTTGCTTTATCTCTTACAGCACTTAGCACAGTACTAGGCACAAGTAGTTGTCTAATATTTTCATAAATACGTATCTTTTAGGTACATGGATTCATTCATGTAGTGTGTATTTAACACATGATTGCTACATGCAGGGCCACTCTGATGGATGCCATGAAACTGGGCTTTGGCACAAGGAGAAGGAAAAGATATTTTTTTGTGTGGCCTTATGTTTAAAGAACCACACCAGAAATTATTTTGTTTATATCTCACACTACTGGGCAGATTGTGCTTGTCCATATGAATTTTGATCAATTTTGTCCCCTTCCTGGGCAAGGAAATTTATTATCATGTTTATGCAGGCAGGCCCTGATGTGCAATCAGGTGGTTGTGTGTAATTATCTGGACTTGCCTCTGCAGTATCTTCCCATGGAAATAGTGTCATGCCTGGAGGTTGGGTTCCCACGCAAACTCACAGAAGCTTGTACTGTTCACTGTCCTATGAACGTTCAATCTATTGACATAAATAACATTGCCAGTGTGTACACTCGCATTCCAAGTTCCAGATCTGCTTGACAGGAACTTCTGTCTCCCCCAGTCTTTAGCAATAGAGAAAGGGGTTTCAAATGGGAATTCCAGGCATCCCTGAGAAAAGGAACTCTGAGGATTATAGCAAGCAAATGAGGCTAGGTTGCAAGACTCCTTTTGCAGGCTGATGTACAAAAACATATTCTCTCTCTTCCTGCATAAGTAAAACTCAATTTAGCCAGATTTAGTGGAAGAAAATAGCAATCAGATACTATGAGCATGAAACCTGCCTTTTTAGATATTTAATAATCATTATTGTGTATTGAAACTTACATGAATGTGAACTGTCCACAAAATATGTTGATGGACTACACGCATGACCCGTGTGTAAATATACTTTTATCAGAAGACAAGGACATTAATATTCACAAACAAAAACTATCATCAAACTTATATGTTCTAGAGATCCCTGGGAAACCAAACAAAATTTACCACACAAAAGTCAATTCTGATTGCACTAAGTTCTTAAAAATGTCACCTTTTGCTTGACTAGATATCCATTTTGCTCTCTGTCCCCATCTCTGCTTCTCCAGTTCCCTGTCCTCCAATAGTAAATTCTTACCTTTTCCCCCTCATTTCCTTCCCCTCTACCTCACAGCAGGCTCCATGTGAGTCTCTGACATAATTACCACTCATTCTCCCCAGTATTGTGTTTGCTGATGTAGCCTATGCTATAGATAGCAAAGGACATGGCTAAATTTGCCCCATAATAATTTATTAAGCAGTTGTCACACTAATAAATTATTTTTGGTTTTGAGCAATGACTCAGTCCTTAATTAGTCATTATAAAGAATTAATCTGAAGCTCCAAATTCAAATATAATTAATGTATAGAAGTATTTTAAATCATGTTGTATCTTACAATTATTTGATGAGCTAAACCAGAAATGATCCTAAATAATAGCTTTCAGTGGAAGCACTATCTCCTCTTGCTTACCAGAGTTTAATAACAGGAAGGTTATACTTCCTTTGAAATGGAATCTAAAAGAGTGATTAATATCATGGTCTTACAAGAGATTGTTTGTGAAGAAAGGAAATTCAGATTCACCTTTGCCCACCAGCTCGACAGCGTGAAATAGGTGTTAACATTTTCGTCTCCAAACTGCTCAGCCACGTAGAGTCCCAGCGATCCGTACTTGTCGTATATGCTTCTCTTTGAGGCATCGGTAAGTATTGCGTGGGCATTGTTGATTTCTTTAAACTTCTCAGTAGCAGCTGGATCATCTGGATTCTTGTCTGGATGGTGTTTCAGGGCCAGTTTTCTTTAAAATAAAGGGAAAACAAGGAAACTGTGTTATTTGACAAGAATGAACGATGTCCTTTTAGAAAAGCACTGTTCATTTGTACATTATTCATGCAAATACTGTGAAATGGTAAGTTTCAGACTAGTGATAAACTAATAAGTACATTTTCACTAAACGGTGTCTCTTGTTTCGAATGCACAGGCACAATAGTACTATTTCTCCTCTCACATTTCCGGAAGAATTTTCAGTATCTGCATGATTGTTGAGTCTGAGAAATATTTGTCGCTGGCAAATATGCAAAGTTTCTTTTTACCGAGAAGCTATCAGTAGCCCACCCCTACAGACCTTTAAGAGCAACAGGACCAGTTTACATCATACTTTCTTTTAGTACCAGAAGAACTTTCCAGAATTAACAGAACGTCACAACATATATTCTAAAAGTTCAACTCAGCTATCAAAAAAGTCTCTCTTGAACAAAATTATATTTTGTTAACCCTTCGTTAATCTTCCACAAATCCTAACTCTCTCTTGGTTTTTCTGAGCAAATACTGTGACTTCCTTTGTATTCAAATATATATTTGGTCTCTTTCCAAATAGACCTTTCCGCTTACTAATCTACAGAAATTTACCTGTGGGCATAAGGCCTTCTCCTCTGTGGATCAGAAATCAGTTCCTGAGGGACTTTGCTAGAAATTCCACCTGGCTCATCTCCCTCATAGGTCTATGTAGGAACACACCTTAAGCTTTTGTTTATTGTATCAGTTTAAATCAAATTGTTTCATTTTAAAACAGTAATGTAAGTCCAGAAGTAAAGCAGAAGAGTAAGTATACCTTATAAATCAATCTACATGATAAATGGAACAAATCACATCTATTTTAGGAACTAAAGTATTAATGATTAGGAAGTAGATGAAAATTTAAGGAGCTCAGCATCAGGATGCTTTAAATCACCAAAATTTTTAAAAGCTGTTGCCCAGGCTGGAGTGACACAGTCTTGGCGAAAAAAAAAAAAAAAAAAAAAAAAAAAAGGAAGTAAGAGATCTCTGGCAAATACACACATTTTCTTGTTTCTAGTGTGGCTTCCTGTCATTTTTTTAAGCAGCTTGGATCTTTGTCAACTCACAAGGGCAGATGCACTCAATCCATTTATCACACTGCTAACAATGGAGTTGGCCAATTTGGAGAGCTGGAACACCTCCACTTGTAACACATCCAATTCCTGGTCATCAGCAACATTTTGATTCCTCTTGGCAGATACTCTTGGCTCCAAGGAATCCTCGGGAAACATGGTGAGCAGAGACAGCTGCCAACATTCCACAACTGTTGAGGAGGTGGTCGTGCAATGTCTCACCCTCTTGCGTGTTGTCCATAGGCGCCTATTCTATTTAAACAACTATGGAATGTAGGGTGTGTCTGGAGTATGTTTAAAGGAAGTGTTTGGAGTATGTTTAAATAGAGTAGGCACCTATGCGTTGTTAAAGTATCTGTTGTCATTTCTACTTTGATACTTAAAGTGACATAATATTCAACCAGAATGTGAGTCTTTAACTCTAAATGTCCCTACACTCTTGGTCACCTGTCAATGTGGTATGGCTGTAGCTAATATTAGAAATAGCATTCAATGCCTCTAATTTTCTCTTCAAAATCTAATGACAGCTTTCAACTAAAATGCATAGTGAATTTAATTAGTGGCAGATAAGATAAACGTGTGGTTTATAGCTGTAATTATCTAAAGCCCTCAAGATCTTCCTATTTGGAGGCAGTGGCATAATTCTAAGAGTTGCAATGTTTTGCTCCATTCTCTTCCTTGCCCTATCTAACACTTTAAGATGCTATCAAACTACTACTGCTACCTACCATTCTCTACCAGTCTCTGAATCACCTGAGGTCCGATTCTGACCATGATGTCCCAGCTCTTAAAATATTTTCATGTTTATCAATCTCGTGGTTTGTATGAGGCTGTCATGTATACCGTTTGGATATTCTCTAAATGAATTTTAGTCTTTTACAAGTTTTTAGTTTGGTTTTTAAAGTTAATTAGTGGTATTTTTAAAATGCATATTCTTGACATGAATTATCTGTCAGTTATATGTATCACATATATCTTCTCCCATTCTGGAGCTTTCTTGTTGTATTACTTTATGATATTTCTTGGTGAACAGAAATTCCTTATTTTAATTTACCTGAATTAACCAATCTGTTCCTCAATTCAGGAAGATATTTTTCTATAAACTCTCTATAACTCTAAAATCTTTTTAGTTTTTCCCTTTATATGGAAATCTATGGCCCATTTATACCCTGACATTGTAATGTGGTGGAGGGCAGGTGTCCAATCTCACTTATTTTATATAGATATTCCACTTTTGTAGCACCATTTATTAGGAAAAGAAAATCCTTTCCTTGGATTTCTGGGATCTGTATTTTGCTCCATTGGTCAATTTGGTTATTTCTGGACCAATAACACTCTTACACATGATGGCTTAAAATATGTCTTCATATCTTAAAGAGCAAATTCTTCCATATTGTTGTTCTTCAAGAGTTCTGTGGTTATTATGGGTCCTGTGCATGTCCACATGAATTATAAAATTAGTTTCTTAATTTACACACACACACACACACACACACACACACATTCACGCAACCTATTGTGATTTTTATTGCGATTGCATTAACTCTACAGATTTAGAGATTGACGTGTATAATATGTCCACCTATTTAGATCTTTTTAAAGAATTTTAAAGTTTTATCATTTTTACCTCTATGTCCTATGTCTATTTTCTTGGATTTAGTCCTGGGAACTTAATTTTTTTGAGATTTTGACATATAAAAATTTTCCTAACTATTCATTGCAGATAAAAAGAATTTTTCTATTTTTATACTTAGGTTTGAAATAACTGTTGTATGTTGATTTTTTTTCATCCTTCTAATTTCCCAAGCTCATGTGAGAATTTTATTGAATTATAAATTCTTTTGGATTTTCTACATACACAATTATATAATCTCAAGTGATAATTGGATTTATTTTCTTTCAAATCCTTATATTATTTACATTTTTTCCTTATCACACTGCCCTGGCTAAGACTCCCAGTATGATGTCAAAAGTGGCTGTAATAGGCATCCTTCTTCTGAATTAACTAAGAGTGAATGAATGTTGAATTTTATCAAATGTTATTTCTGCACCTATAGAGAAGATATGTTGTTTCTCTTTTGGTCTGTTAATGCAATTGACTGAGTTTTTAAATGTTAGATGAAGCTTATGTTTCTGGGATAAACTCAAAATTTATTGCTGGATTTGGTTTTCTAATACATGAATTAAACTCTATAAATTTTTCTCTGAGTAATATTTTGACTGCATTTCACATCTTAATATGTAGCATTGAATTCTAGATCTTTTATAATTTTAATTATGGTTTGTTATTTTTAGCCATGAGTTATTTTAAATTATACCTCCTAATTTTCAAACATATGGAAAATATCCAGCTATTTAAAAATTTTTGCTCTGTAACGTAATTGCATTGCTGTTAGAGAACATATTTGGTATGACTGAAATCCTTTAAAATTTGAGTCTTGCCTTATGTCTTATTATTTTAATAAATGTTCCATGTGTGTTTAATAAATGTTCCTATTGGGTACTTTGTTTTTATAGTTTTTGATTTTGTTAATTGTTTTGTTCAAATATTCTATATCCTTCTATAAAATGGATATAGAAGATATCCATTTTATTGATCTGTCAAGCCAGGTGTGTTAAAACTTTCCACTATGACTGTAGGTTTGCAGAATTCTCCTTAAAGTTCTGTCAACTCTTTGCTTTGTATATTTTAGGCCATGTGTTTTAGGAGCCTATAAACTTATAACTGTTATATATTCTTGGTGGATCAAATTTTTATCATTACGAAGTATCCCTCTTTATCTGTAGTAATGCTTTCTGTCTTCACTTTAATTTTAATCAAGCTATACAGCTTTCTTTTGATAAGCATCTGCATAGCATCTTTGTCCCTCCTTTTATTTTCAAATTTTCTGTATTCTTAAATAGTAGATGTGTCTTTTGTAAAAACCATATGGTGTCAGTTTCTTATTCAGAATGACTTTTTTCTTTTAATTGAAGCATTTTGTCTATATTTATTTTTAATGGAATTACTGATATTTTTCAGGTTTCGTCATCATATTCTATTTGTCCCTTCTAAAATATACTCATATTTCTTTTCCCTTTCTTTTCCTGCCTTCTTGTTGGTTTAATTTCTCATTACTCTACTTTTTTCCCCTGTTGGTTTGAAAAATATATATTCTTTTATCATTGTTTTCAGGGTCCTTTGGAGATTTCAAAATCCTTGACTAATGTTAATGTACTTTTGTTTTCCTCCAAAATAACACAAAAATCTTGGGGCAAGGACACTGTTACTCCCTTCTCAACTTATGTGTTGTTGGTAGCATATACTTTAATTCTCTGAGTCGTTTAAGCTTTGAGTAATTATTCTTTCATGAAATTAGCATTTAAGGATATTTTATACAATTAATATTTGTATGTATGTATGCACATATTTACCATTTTTATTACTATTAGTTCTTTCCTACATCTCTGACCATCCATCTGAGATTATTTTCCTTCTGTCTATAAACATTCTTAGTACCTCCTTTAAGTGAAAAATCCACTGGGGATTAATTCACAGTTTTCTTTAAAAAAATTTAATATGACTTTATGTCACCTCAATTTTGAAAAACTTCCTGGATGTAGAATTTTAGGTTATCAGTTATCTTCTTTCATCATTTTGAAGATTTTGGTCTACTGTCTTCTGGCTTATTCTATCTTGGTTGAAAAATCAGTTGTTAAGTCTAATTGTTGGGCTTTAAAAGCAATCTGTATTTTTCTCCTATGGTTGCTATAAAGGCTTTACAGCTTTAGATTTTAGAAGTTTTTCTGTGATGTTCCTGGGTATAGAGTTCTTTGTATTTATTTTGCTTGCTTTTATTGAGTATATGTGGTTTAATATCTTTCATGAACCTGGAAAATCGACATGTTG